ATAAATAAATACCCCCCATCTTGATGAGCTTTCAGAGTAAAGAAATCAAAGTAGAGCTTTCCAACCATACGACTCTCGATTCTCGTCCAAAAAAAGCAAGGGCTACGTCGTAAATTCGCTTTGTACGTTCCGACTTATTTCCCCCCCCCCCCCAAGCTTCTCCCGATGCCTTCTCCCCTTTACGGGGGGGGAGGGGATCTCTTGCGGAAAAGCTGCAAAACTTCGAAGAGGAAAAAAACACGCGTGTCGTTGATTTTCGACCTTCGAACTTTGGTTTCCGACAAAGACGCGCAAGTCCACGTGTATACACACTGGGAATCAGACGCGATTAATTTCATCCCTTTCCTCCCGGCCAGACAATGAGCTCCAGGGAGGTACAGTGGTAGGGGTGACATTTATTTTCCCTCGCCCTCGCTGACTCTGCTTTTGTCGACGGTACTATATACACATACCTTTGTGCGTGTGTTACAGTAGCACAATAGGATGGAAATTTTCGTAGCCATCGATTTTCAATTTTCTGATCAATTAATCGCTCGATTTTGCCGTCAGTTGTAAACTACATTGAGATGAATGCACAAACAAATAATATATCGTTGCCGATTAATTGGTGTTGATTTATACTTGATACTCAATATATTACAATGTGAATTTTTTCGTTACATTAATGGCTAGATACCACCGTATATTTTTTTTAACTTTCGTCGTTTTCCTCAATTTTTTATTTTTTAAGATTTATATTACCTATTTTGTAAAATAACTAGAAATTAATAAAAAAATTACTGAAAAATAAATTTGTAAAAAAAGTACTTTTTACGGAAATTATGGTGGCTTGGTGCATGATTGTAATAGTCGCATCAAGGTGCAAGGCATGGCACTACACAGTGAATTTATTTACATTTCAAATCGAACAAACCAATAATTTATTCTAGTTGAAAAAAATACCACGAATAGCGGTTTTTGTCAGAAATTAATGATATAACTTGCACCGAAATAACTCTTAATCTGTTATGTTTTCGTAAAATAAAGTAGTATACAACTAAAAAACGGTAAAAAAAAATACTAAATCAAACGCAATACCTCACTTTCGAGATCAGGGATTCAAAGTTAGCAACAACTTTAAAAAATCTGCTATACTCTCTCTCTCGTCCTCGACGGATCAGACCTCAAGTAATCCGTTAGACTTGAACGAGCTCGTACTCTGCTTTTGGTGACAAAGTATAAAAGTTTCAACGTACTGTGTCAAGACGTGTTGACGGCGTGGATTACACTAAGTCGGACAGCTCGTTAAAAAAAACTTATGATTATTGGTGCATATGATTTTTTTTAATGAATCTCAAGAAATTCTAATTAATCTGAATTATACAAAAATATTTGAGAATAAGCTAATTAAAAATTATTCGCGCTCAAAAAGTCCGTACCTTTATTATTTGTGGTTTCAAATTCATCGAATCACATAAAAAAATTAATTAATTACCTATACTTGTTATGAAAAAAATTTCATATCATATTGAGAATATAAAAAACTTCTTATGGACGAGAAATTTCATTCGATTGTTATTATAATAATAATAATAATAATAATAATATTAATAATAATTATGTATTATTGTCTACTAGAAAAATAAAAAGGATGGGCTTAGTGTGCTTTTAGAAGATTGATTTTCACGTGACTACAACTTTTTTAACTGTAGTGCGATTGAACAAGTGAGATCACAATAAGTTTACACTGTGACAGTGATCTCAAGTGTAACTATTACATTTTTTTGTCCTATTAAACAAAATAACTATAGACAAAAAATCGATTTTCACTAAAGTTGATGAAATAAAATTGCATTTATTATAAAAAAAAAAACTTTTCAACTATTACTCATTGATTAATATTAGAAATAACATAAATAGAACATTTACATTCTTGCCGAAAAAACAAACATGGCACGTGAATTACAATAAATAATAGTATATGCGTGTACAAAAACGAGAAAAATGAGAAAAAATTTTAAAGATTAATTTTGTTTTCTTCGAGTATAGTTTGGTATATGCTTATGAAGTACTAAATTGTAAAATTATTTGTTACCAATTACAAAAGTAGTCACGGTAATTTAAATCGCTGTTGACTTACAAAACTGTTTTTTAAACAGGTTATATTAAGTTCTTTTTAAGACCAAATATACTACCACAATATAATAAAATATACTGGCACAATATCTGCCATTGCAACCTTGGCGTTACTCGTACAAGATGTACATATACCAAACACCCTCTACTAAAAACTAGTTTTTCTCGTTTTTGAAATACTCGTTGGTGCTGCTTTAATGTTTGCATTTGTTTTTTTAGTTGTAGAACTGTAATACAAGCAAAACACCATATGGCTGTTAGTTTTGAGTTGCACTAATCAATGCATCAACTTAAAAAGCGCCAGACCCAGATGGCAGGAAGATTTTTATCGCAAAATAAACTTCCTGCGGCTATTTTAACGATACTGAACTTCAGGCCTCCTTTGTTGAAGAAAAAAAAAGAAGCTCAAAACTTTCTTAA